CCCGCTCTGGGCGCGGAGTTCGACGGCCTGGGGCTGCCCACGCCCGAGCGCTCGCCGCTAGACGGCCTGGAACCCGGCGAGGCCGCCTTCTTCCCGCCCCCGGCGGCGCCCGAGGACTGCGCGCTGCGGCCCTTCCGCGCGCCCTACGCCGCCGCCGAGTTGCCTCGGGACCCCGGAGGCTGCTACGGAGCACCCCTGGCCGAGGCTCTCAGGACCGCGCCTGGCCCTGCCGGGCCGCTCTCCGGCCTCTACTACGGCGCCCTGGGCGCGCCCGGCCCGGGCCCGTTCCCTGGCCCGCTGTCGCCGCCGCCCGAAGCCCCGCCGCTGGAGGGCGCAGAGCCGTTGGGGCCCGCCGCCGACTTGTGGGCCGATGTGGACCTCACCGAGTTCGACCAGTACCTCAACTGCGGCCGGACTCGGCCCGACGCCGCCGGGCTCCCGTACCACGTGGCGCTGGCCAAGCTGGGCCCGCGCGCCATGTCCTGCCCGGAGGAGAGCAGCTTGATCGCCGCGCTGTCCGACGCCAGCAGCGCTGTGTACTACAGCGCGTGCATCTCCGGCTAGGACGCCGCCCGCCCGCCCGCCCGCGCTTCGCAGCCGCATCGCTGTGCCTCGCTGCTTTGTCGCTGTCGCAAGTGTATGTTGCAGCCACTTGTAACAGTCCGGTAGGAACCGCAACGCTCGCGCTCTGCCCCTGGCCCGCGGGCGCCCTGCCCCTGGCCCGCGGGCGCCCTGCGAGGGTGGTTCCCGCGCGTCCCGGCTTTCCCAGGAAGCCCAGGCCTGGGACCTGTTGGCTGGCCCTGCCAGGGCTAAGTTTTTGAAGCGCCTAAGCCTTATCCCGTTCCTGCAGTGCACTTCCTAGAAGCAGGCTGTATTTTTTACTTTGCCTTTTTTATATACATAATACAATATATTTAATTTTTAATTAAACTTGCAAACGTTTTCGTCGAAGAGGTTTCAGTGATCAAAAGCATCAATGTAGCAAGGGCTTTTTAAGTATGAGGAACGACAATGTCTGTTTGCTGTAAAGGAGGACCCTGGAGCTGGGTCCCCTGGACCAGGTGAGGCCACAATAAAGCCTCTCCCTTTCCTCTGAAGCCCCGTGTCGTCTGTGGTTGTTGGGGGACGAAGGAGCAGTTCCCCCAAGGGCCAGGGAGGTGTTCTTCCCTCCACATCTCCCCCAGAGAGCCTGACCTCCAGCTTGGACCCCACAGACCTGACTCTCCATCTTTCAGGGATACTCCCCCACACAGCTGGTGGGAGGTAGGAGCTGTGGGTACTCCCCACCCTCCCAGCCCCCCATTCCTCTCCTGTCTCCCCCATTTTAACTCAAGCGTACACCAAGCAATGCCCCCGCCCAGGTTTCATCAAACTCATCTCTTTGAAACTTTCTTCAAACCCAAGCACTGCCCCTCTCCAAAGGGGTCTGCGGGGCAGACACGGCATCCCTGTCATTCTCAACCCAGTGTCCCCAGAGAGGGCAGCACCATGACACACCCATGCTGCTCCCCAGGATGACCTGTCCAGTAGGAAGGAGGCAGGAAAGCTGAGCAAAGTGGTCACCGGTGGTCCGGTGCAGGCAAATTCGTCATGGGGGGCTCTGAGCCACAAATGCATGTGGAGACGGGCACATCGCCCATGAGTGTGCAAGCCACACCCAGTTCTCATGGCTCACCAACTCCCATTCTGGGCCTGCTCCTGCTAGGGGGACAGGTGACTCACCCCTGGAGTCCTGGGTCAGCTGGACCAAGGTGCACCCTGCTGTGGGATAGCCTCAATACAGAGGGCAACCCACAGCAGGAGTCCCGGAGCCTCTGCCCCAGGTGTGGTGTCTCCCAGCCTCTGGCCAGGGCAGCAGTGCCCCTGCCCCCAGAGACATCCATGGACACACAGAGAAAGGTGCCAGGCAAGCAGACAGGGCCGTCTTGTCTGTCTCTCCAGCACCCTCACGTCCTACATTCTGGGCTCCTCACCCCACCCTCATCTCCCCCAAGGCCCATGGGATGGGAGCCACAAGAGTGCCTTGGGGTGGTATCCCCCCTTTGCCCGAGCAGCGTGGAGGCAGAGCAGCTTGCTCCACAGAAGCAAGGTACTCCCCCAGTACCAGGATGGGAGGCCATTGGGGGCCCAATTTGCCAGAGGTTCCATGCCAGGGATTGGGGGCATCTAGGAACAGGATCAGGAGGAGGACACAAAAGGGCCTCCTACCCAGGGCAGCTGTTTCCAATAGTGGTTCCTCAGCAGAGGCGCTGGGCGTGGGGGTAGGGGTCTCCTCAGAGGACCCTTTGCCAGTGCCTTGCCTGAGGGGCTCCCCAAGGGGGCTGGCTCTGCCCTTGCTGGACCACAGTCCCAGGGCCTGGCTGGCTCCAGCCCCAGGTCAGACTTCCCACCCCTCCCCCTCCTGGCTCCACCCACCTGTTTCCCGAAGGGTGGGAGAAGGGAAGTCGCCACCCCCAGCTCCCGCTGAGTCAGGGCAGCCAGGAAGACCCATGGCTGCCTAGCTCCTGGCGGGAAGTTCTAGCAGCCATCCCTGGGATGAGCCACAGCTCCCACGCCCCAGACCCAGCCTGGCCCTGGAGTGACCTGGGCGGAGGTGTTGAGCTGTCCCCAGCAAGCAGCCCAGGGGAGGCCTCGGTCAGGGAGGTGGGACAGAGAGTGGGTGAGGTGCACCCCTCTCCCCAACAGACACAGTCATCATCTCAGACACCCTAGGAAACAGCGCACACACAACCAGCCACAAGCCACACCAAGACCAAAGATGCGCTCATATACCCAACCCCAACACGGCCATGCTGGGCCAGCAAGGAGGGGTGCAAATCACCCTCCACTGCCCTGGACACTCCAGGCAATCCAACCATTTAGCTCAAATCCCACAAAGTGCACAGACTTGTAGGTGGGCAATTCAGTGTTCTCGGCATTCACAGGGCTGTACGACCATTCTGCTGTCTCATTTTAGAGCTTTCCCGTGACCTCAGAAAGACATCGTGCCCATCAGCGCTCGCTCCGTCTCTTCCTCCTCCCAGCCCCTGAGAAACGCTGACCTGCTTGCTGTCTGTGGATTTGCCTTTTCTGGACGCTTCCTATAAATGGAATCCTTCATTTAAGAGGCCTTTCAGTCTTGCTTTGTTTGCTGAGCATCGTGTTGGCGAGGTTGGGCCACACTCAGGGGTTATCAGCACTGTGCTTTGTTCCTTCCTGGGGCTGGATAGCACTGCATTCATTGTGTGGATGGACCGCGTTTCATGGAGAGGCCGTTCCCACGTTTTGGCTACGGTGAAGAACGCTACTGTGAACATTTGTGCACAGCGTTTTTTGTGAGTGTGTGTTTATTAGAATTACATAAATTTGTATTTCTAATGACCAAGTCTGAGCAGGTAGTCTCAAGTCCATAAGCTAGAGCAGCTGCTCCCAAGGGGGAGGGTCCAGAGCTGCTGACCTCCAGCCCCAACGGCCCCCCAAAACCAAGGCTCAATCCTCTATCCAGCCGACGACCCACTCCTGCCCCAGGCTGGGGAGGGGCTCCAAGGACCAGACTGTAATCCAGTCCACGGAGGGTTTTGGCCAAGAGCGTGGGAGTTGCCGGCCCAGGACTGGCGCGGAGGAAGTGTGGGAGCCAAGGTTCCTTCAGCCCGCAGCCCGTTCCGCTCCACCTTCGCACAAACACCAGCCTCCCAGGGAGCCGGGCGGGCAGCGGGGCCGGCCAAGTGCTGTGGGAGCTCTGATCTCCGCCTTGTTGCCCACGAGCCCGTCCCGTCTCCCGCGAGCCCGCCCGGTCCCCACGAGCCCGCCGGGTCCCCACGACCCCGCCCGGTCCCCACGAGCCCGCCCGCCCGCTCGAGGAAACAGGAAGAGGCGCGCGGCGACGGCGCTGGGAGGAAGCGCAGGAAGCGGCGGCGGGCGCGGAGCTTATCTGGGGCCGCAGCCGGACCCCTGGCCTCGCGCCCTGCGCAGGCCGGGCAAGGGGCGCGGGGGCGGCGGCGGCGGAGGACCTGGCGTGATCACCTGGCGGGGAGCCCTGCCCGTTTCACCCCCAAGCCACAACTGTCACAACGGGGCTGTGGAGGGAGGCGCCGAAGCCAGCGACAGGACTTCGCTGGGACAGGCTGCGCCCTCCACAGGCGTGAGCAGGGGTCCTGCCAAGACATAAACCAGAGGTGACCCAGGGTCCAACCCCAGGACGCCCCACCTCGCCCACAACACACACTACCCTGCCCCCCCACCCTGTGCCGGCCCCATTTCCCCAAAAACAAGGACTGCTTCCCCGAGCAGGTGCGGGCTCCTTGCTGGCTGTTGGAGGGCGGGGGTCGTACTGGGAGGTAGGATGGTTGTTTGTTTCTGTGTTTACAAAGCTGAGGCTCTTCCTAGGGAGCGGCCAGGATGGGGAGTGTCTCTGGGGCCCCCCCCAGGGTCCCGCAGGCCACTGGCAGGGACAATAGTCTGAATTCAGCACCTGGCACTACCCTCCCCCCCCCATGAGTATTTGCTTTGCTTCCTGGAGTCGGGGTCCTTGTTTGTTTCCGCGTCAACCACAGCTGGAGCAGGCTGTCTCCTTGCGCACCTGCAGGGATGGGGAGCCCACACTGAGGCTCACACGCCAGGGCCAAGAGCCGGGCAAGGCCAGCGCCCCCTTCAGGTCTGGGCGCAGGTGCTTCCTCCTGGGCCTCCCATGCTGCCACAAGCCTTCTGGGGCACCAGATGGGCCTCGCTCACTCACGTCCTGTCCCCAGCCGTGGCTCCATGAACACTAGAGCTGCATCTCCGAGGGCCTGGGGCTGGGAAGCCCTCATCTTTCCCAGCACCTCCCCTTGCTCGGTGGGCTGGGGTGGTGGCCAGTGGGGGGAGGGCATGGGGGAGTGCCAGACCCCATGAGAAGACCCCAGGGCAGGACACAGCCTCAGAAGGGCCAGCGTACTGGGCTGGCACGGACCAACAACCCCTGTGGCCTGCTGGCAGCTTGGGAAGGGGCAGCGGTGGGAGGTGGGGCTGGAAGACAGAGGCACATGTGGGCGGGGGTGGGAACACAGAGTGGCAAAGTCACAATTAACTTTTTGGTTTTTCGAATCCAGAGACTAGTTTGCCGATCGCCCGTTCCAGATGTTCTTTCAAAGGCTCCCAGTCTGGGGAGGCCGTGGGACCCAGGCTACCCTTCAAAGTCGGCCTGGCCCGCTCTTCTCAGCCCTGCACATGGGGGGTCTGGTTCTCTGCTTTCCGAAGTTGCACAACCCTGGTAGTGCCCCGAGGCCCCACCACTGTGTCCCAGCCCCCACCTCCCTGGAAGCAGCTGAGAAGGCATGTGTGTGGGACAGCACCAATGGGTGCAGGCCCCACCACGTGTGAGCCCCAGAAACTGTTACATTGGAAAAGCCAGGCTCAGGCCATGTGTCTCAGCAGCATGCACAAGCTGGCAGACGCCTCGAGTCCAGGGATACATGGGGCCCATCCGTCCACAGAGTCATGCTGCTGGGACTCTGCCCTTGGTGGCTCCATGGCAGCCCTGTCCCCATGGTTGAGTCTCTTTCCCTCTCAGTGTCCATCCGTTCCAGCCAGCAAGCATTTATTGACCAGTTTGTGTGCCATGATGAACAAGCCATAAAGAGGGTCCCAGTGCTGAGCCTGAAGCAGAGCCAGCGTCTCAGAATCTGAGCAGTGCACCCCAGCTTCCCCCCCAGTCTGTCTCTCAGTGGCTCAGGGTGGCTGTGTACCTGCCCCCAGATCTGGTCTGGGTGGGACGTCCCCTCCCTAGACAAATGAACTTTGTCCTAGAAGCCAGGTGAGATGGTCCTGGATTACCCACGTGGCCCCAAATCCAGTGACAAGTGTCCTTGCAAGACAGAAGAGGCAGGGGCTGGACTAATGGAGCCACCAGAAGCCAGACAGAGTGAGAAAGGGTTCTCCCTGCTGCCCCTGGAGGGAACACGGCCCTCAGACACCTTGATTTTAGGCCAGTGACACTGATTTTGGACTTCCGGCCTATAAAACCATAAGAAAGGGAATTTCTACCACGTGAAGCCACCTACTTTGTGCTAATTTTTACAGCGGCCCCACAAAACGAATACAGATGGCTTCTGAGATA